GGGGCGAGGAGGCCCGGGTGGGGGCGGGGCGCCGGCACGATGTGATCCTCGTTTTCGTGGGCGGGGACCCTCCCTCCTCCGGTCTCCTCAGAAGAGGGTTTAACCGTGTGAGGACTGGAGATCTCCGCGCCGCCGCGACTCCTCCTCGGCCCGGCCGGCCCGGCCACCACACCTCGGGTCGGTCACGACACTTGAGGAAAATTCTCCATGACGGGGGTGGGGAGGCTGGTGACACTGGAAAGGGGCCCTTTGGCAAACGCTTCTCTCCCGGTCCAGGCGCCTTGACCGGCATTTCGCCCTTCCGCTTTACCTCCCGGGAGAAACTGAGGTCTCTGCCCCTGCTTAGAAAGGTTTGTTTTATCTTAGTTTCTGTGGCGCTAGCCACTGAGCAGTTTGCGACTGTTCCAGGTTTTATAGGGTCTGCAATCAGTTAGTGTTTCATTTGGGCTTTGGAGATGTGCTGACTTGTAAAAATACCAGGAAAAGGGCTCTCATTGAAAATTCCCACACATCCACACTGGAAAAACGTAAGTGGGCATGGATGAGAGAGCCACTTTAGTTTGCAGATATCATCGGCATTCATTGTGCATGGTTGGCTTGATTTTGTTAGATGCTCTCCTTGTCCCTGGTGGAGAACATGCGTTTATTTTTCTTTCAAACTTCTTGTGACATCTTGTGCTTTGCATTGTCCTTGGAATAGTCTTCATAAATGTTCACTTGTTGATAATTGATGGGTAGGAAATGGACATAATAGGCACTTTACTTACACAACCCAGTGAACTGGATATTATTACAGTATATTCATTTTTAAAATGAGGAAAAAGCAGTTCAAAGGGTTAATTAAATTTCTCAAGATGCCACAGAGAGTAAGTGGCTGACTCAGAACTGGACCCCAGAACTGACTCACTCCAGACTCCATGTCCTTCCAAATACACCTTACAGTCCCCATGGACAGACAATAATTATTGCAGACGTTTGAGGAGCAGTAGCTATGTGCCAGACACTATGCTGAGTGCTTTCCATGTGTTATCTCAGTTAAACCTCACAACAATCCCATGAGAGGTACAGGTACCATTTTTATTCCTATTATACAGATGAGGAAACTGATTAGCACAAGATCATGGAGATGGAAAGAGCCAAGACTCAAATCCAGGACTGCCAGCTGTAGGCACAGATATTAAGTAAATAAGTGGGGGAAATTCAAAACACATTCAGAGATAAATAACAACAAAAATAAGGGCCAGCCTGTGGCTCACTTGGGATACTGAAATTTTTTGTAATTTTCATGTGACAAATATTCTTCTTTTGATTTTTTTCAATCATTTAAAAATATGAAATCATTCTTAGTTCACTGGTCATGCAGGCTGCTGGTGGGGTGGACCCATGAGCTATAAACCTACAGATTTAGGAGTGACTTATTCTAAAGCCCCTTTGAGAGATACTGCTTCTTTGCTTGACCTGACTGTTCAGACATGAGGGGAGGGGGAGGGAAAAGGAGGGAGGGGAGAACAGGAAGAATCAAATTGTCTTAACTAAGCCATTGTTTTAACTCAGCAGATAGGAACTGTCCCCACGGGCAAATCATCTCTCATTCCCTTTTATCTGAAGAAAGACCCTCTCTCAGGATCTCTATCATGATCATTTTACTGAGCTTTTTTGTATTCCATGGATGTGCACTTCCTTGCCACAATTACAGCAAATATTTCAGAGGAGGGGCTTGACCTAGTAGGGGATAAATGATACTAATATCTATGACCTCAGACCAGGGGGTGCACATGGCTAAGACCCAAACCTCTTTAAAGGGGCACCAGCTGGTATCTCAGGGAAAGCAATAAAGATGGTTCTGCATAGTAGAAAAACTGCAAACTAGATTCAACTGCTGCTTGTGGAACAAGCTGCCACTGCCAGGTTGGAGAAGTGCAGTCTCCCTCTACTACCCTCTATTAGTAGACAGATCCTATCAGGGAACCAGGTGACAAAGCAGTAATATGGAATAACACAGAACAGAGTACATGAGAATGGGCTTAATGTTAAGGGACAATGGCGCAATAATTGGCATAGTCACTCCTTGGAAATTTGGTTAAACTAGTTTCAACTCTTTGCATCATCATCTCTAATTTCACAACCAGTGTTCCATCCACAACTCCTGAGAATTATTGATTTCCTATCCCCGTTCCTAAGGTTCCTCATCTTCTGTTTCCACTCCTGAAATTCATGGACATTTGGATTCTGCTTCCTATTCTGGTTTAGTAGAGAACTCTACTCATCAACAGTTTGCATGAAAAAATAAATCATTTTCTACAAATTTGAAGAGTGACATGCTGTTTCTCACAGAAATTTGCCACCCCCTACTAAACCTTTTATGCATCTCCTCAATCAGAGCTGTCTTCACCACACTGCCACTATGCAAAGGCTCCTGAGTCCAGCAGTGGACTTCACTCTCCCTGCCAACAGACCCCCCTGAATTGCAGTCCAGTTGTAGCCCAGCACATTATAACTGTTTTTCCCTGGAGAACATCTTCCCTGGATTTTTGATGAATAAAATTTTCATTATTTCATTACATCTACAACAAGAAACTTACAGGCATCTCCTTGAAACTTGAGAAAAAGGTCTGTTAAAAGTATTGTGTAAATGGGGAATGGATAGTAAATGAAAATTAATTGTAGATTGTCCATGCAAGCATTTTGATAAGAAATTAGAAGATGTTAGGGTCAGAGATTGCCATCCAAATGCCATATTTAATCTTATTATATGAGTCATATCTATTATGTGTAATCAGTATTATGTTATGGAAAACAACATCAGAAAAACCATTCCAGAACCTCAATTATCAGCCATCAGTTGCTGGTAAATGAAGCACGTAAGAGGATATATTGTTAAATTGGAATGTTTATGTTAAATAACATAATGTTATTTATGTGTGTTTTACATTTTTCCACATAATAAAAGGAATCATGATTTCATTAGATGCTTTTTTAAGTAGGAGTACAATTTGGTCCCACTTTTCCAATGTTTGATATGAGGGCAAACCTCTAATAATTGACACAAGAAGGGAAATGACAAGAGAGAGGGCTAGACAAAAGCAGTGGATTTAATATTCGTTAACTTCTAATAGTTTATCACTAAATGTTAACTCTACTATGCTATTTCTCTCAGCTCTTGTTCAGGTGTGTATGTGCATGCGTGTGTGTGTGCATGCACATTATGTTAAGAGGAAGGAGGGAATAGATGGTTGTTGGAAGATACATGATCTGTTTTACCAGTGGAACTCTTGTTGAATACATCAAATCATGATCACTTCCAGTTGTTATTCTGCTGCTTACACTAAAGAAAGAATCAGAGATATGGAAAACCATGGCAATATAGTAAATGAAGGAAATTAATAAATCATATCATGTCAGGGAATTGTGTTGAGAAAAACAATATATATTGATCCTCATTAAAGGGTACTATGTATAATTTGATAAAATGCTAAAAATCTATAAGGTTTTAAAAATTAAATATTAAACCTCAATTAAATCTGAATAAATCTTTCTAACATTAAGGGAGGTTTGCGTGGGGACCATGTTCTGGGATTATTTTTTTTTAATAAAAAAAGAACATTGTATTTAATATGGTTGAATTGGCATTGCTATAATCACCTCAAATCTTTTTATTGATTTATAAACCAAATACAGAAGATAATGCTTTCCATTTGGTTGGGAGTAAAATTGGGTGCAGAACAAAAAAATTAAAAAACATTGCAAAAATATTCTAAGACACTGGCTCATTTGGGTGAATGGGCCAGCATATGGTAAGTGTGTTTCAATACAGACAAGTTTTGCACTACTTTTTGTAGGAAAAAAAAATTCTTTCCTGAACCAAGAGCTTCATAAAATTATCTTAAACTGTTCAAGACAAAATATTTATAGAAATAATGAAAAAAGTTGATCACAGTGATCTAAATTTTAGAAAATAATTTTTTATACCCAAAGCATACTTAAATATCTTTAAAAAGCACAATTATAGGTTTGGTGTTTTTGTTCTGTGCCACATTAGCAAGCTGGAGCTAAGCTTCCAAAGTTCCCATCTTTTTATTGTACTGTGTTAAGGTTTGGCCACAAAAGAAATTTGCATGGTGTATTAGGCCATTTTGTGTTGCTATAACAGAACTACTTGAGACTGGGTAATTTATAAAGAGCAGAGGTTTATTTGGCTTATGATTCTGGGGCAGCTGCATCTGGCACAGGCCTTAGGCTGCTTCTACTCATGGCAGAAAGTGGCAGGCAGCCAGCAGGTACAAGCAGATCACATGGCAAGAGG